GACACATTCCCTATGCATCAGCAGTCGGTAGTCTAATGTATGCCATGCTATGTACCCGACCCGACATATGCTATGCTGTGGAAATTGTCAGTAGATATCAGTCCAATCCGGGACGTGCTCATTGGACTGCCTTTAAGAATATCCTCAAGTATCTTAGGAGAACGAGGGACTATATGCTAATGTACGATGCCAAGGATCTGATCCTTATAGGGTAAACTAACTCAGATTTTCAGACCGATGTAGATTCAAGGAAATCAACATCAGGACCTGTCTTCACTCTTAACGGAGGAGCAATAATATGGAGAAGCATAAAGCAAGGTTGCATTGCTGATTCCACCATGGAGGCTGAGTATGTTGCTGCTTGTGAAGCAGCGAAAGAATCTGTATGGCTTAGGAAGTTCTTAACTGATTTGGAAGTTGTTCCAAATATGCATCTTCCCGTCACTCTTTATTGTGATAACAGTAAAGCAGTTGCAAATTCAAAAGAACCAAGAAGCCATAAGCGAGGAAAACATATTGAGCGCAAATATCATCTCATAAGGGAGATTGTGCAACGAGGAGATGTGATCGTCACACAGATAGCTTCAGAGCACAACATTGCTGATCCATTTACAAAGCCCCTCACGGCTAAAGTGTTTGAAGGGCACCTAGTGAGTCTAGGACTACGAGTTATGTAATCTAGGGCAAGTGGGAGAAAAGGCATGAGTATGTGATGCCCTAGTTTATTGTATTTATTGTTGTTTATTCAGTAAAGATTGTTATTGAATAAAGTGAACTTTACGATCATTAATCTAAAGCCAATAAACTAAGAACACTCTGGCTATAGTATGATTACTTGAACTATATGTAGAGACATAAGAGTGGATCAAGTTCAAGTATATAGTCAAAATGATCTATAGTATAAGGATAAGGCTGAGTACCTCATTCTGGGGACACTATGGATGTGGCCCACTTTTGTATATGATATAAACAATGTGATCACTAAATTGCATATGTGGAGACATGTAAGTGGGGGTGTCCTATGCAATTAGTATCGCATAAGATCGAACCATGAAGAAAACCACTCTCACTTTATAATGTCGTTTACTGTTGAGACTAATTTTCTTTTCATTCGATGACCTAGGTAACTCGATCTTAATCCTGAGCTTACCATGAACTCCTGTTTATTCGGAATTATCCTTAGCTTTGCATGGGTAAGAGTGGCTTGAGTTTGTCGACTCAATAGGCCTCCCATTTCAGGGGTAAGACTGGGTGAATAGCTGGGGACATGGGGTGTAAGATGGAATTCGCTCCTACCCACTTTTAGGGATAGAAGAGAGGTAGTTCCCTTAAGCACTGACTCTAGGTCTTGAACAAGGGGCCCCACCCTCTCATTGGCCTGAGAGAGATTCGGTTTACTGGTTGGACCACAAACCAATTGTTCATAAGAGGATAAGTGGGACATAAGGAACAAGAAGTAACTTCAAGGGTAAAACGGTAAATTAACACAGCTTTAGTTACGAACAACCTGTGAAGGATCGGCTTACTAATTATGGTTATATCAAATGGACAGAAATATATGTATAGTGAGGGGAGTGCAACTACTAGGCTATAGTGGAGTGTCCTAGTAGTTAATGAATGTTGGTTAACAAGATTAATGAGTTTAACGGTTAATCCTGGATCGTAGGAGCCCATGATCTATAGGTCAGTTAGGTCCCTCTACTAGCTCATATCGGACTAAACCATAGAACAGTGTGACGAGTGAGTTCAAAGTGTTGGAATTCAAATTAAGGAATATGCGCTACATATATACGATATATTTAATCGCATTTTTGTTTTATTTACGAATTAAACAAAAAGAGAGAATCTAAGATATTTAAATAAGATTTAAATATCTTAATCAAATATGTGTCGAAATTGATTGGGATTGACATATGAATTAATATTAAATATTAATTAAATAGTTTAATTATTTAATTAATATTTAATATTACTTTAATTTGAAATTAATATATAGCTTTACCAGATTTAGCCATCTACTATATATAGCTATTTACTATATATAGCTTTATCGGATTTAACCATCTACTATATATAACTATTTACTATATATAGCTTTACCGGATATAGTTTTACCAAATATAGCTTTATCGGATATAACCGTTGACCAAGCTATAAATAAGCATCAGGCTCCATAATCTAACAACTAGTTCTAGCGGGTGTCCGGCCTAAGGGGCTCCTAGAGTATGCCCACTGGATAAGGAAAGTGGCCCAGCGGTCTGCGAACTAGCTGGTGAGTCCATACTCGCACGTATGGGCTGTGTGTAGAGTATATGGTACACGTCCAAAATATCCGTTAGGACAGCACCGTAGGGAAAACGAAACGAAATGAAAGATAAGCCCATCATTTCATTGCATGTGATTGTTGCATTTAACCCCAATAGTGGGGTCACTTACCAAGTATTTCTTTAAATACTCAAACAATGTGCTACTACATTTTTCAGGTTAAGGCAAGGCATTCATGTACGACTGACGACGGCACCGCAACTCGAGACCAGTGCACATACATAGAATAGTGGTATTTATTTTCTTAGACTTAGGCTAGAATAGAATGTTTTAAACTTAAACGCATAATTATTTTATTTCGTGTCTTTTGTTGCGTCGTTTTAAATATGTATTCAAAACACGGTGTCTTTTGTTGTGTCTTTTGTTTCATGTCTTTTGTTGGTATTTATTTTCCATGGCTGTGTTTTAAGATAAAGGATATGTTTTGTGGAATTTAAATGAAATTTTCCGCATTCAATGTTTATGGTACGTATACAGTAGCGACCATAAATTAAGTAGAAAATTTCGGGTTGTTATAGATTCACACTCGCACGTGTGGGTGGTGGGTAAAGAAGTACTACACATCCAATTTGTTCGAGATTGGAGGTCACTCCTAGATGCGCTAGAGCTCGATCCCAAGAGCATGTTGCATGTGTTTGCCTCAGCATGACCCCTACAGTGGGTGACTTACTGAGTATTTTTTGAAATACTCAGGCCTTGTGCCACATATCATTTTTCAGGTAAAGACAAGACGCTCATGTACGGACGGCAACAACATCAAAAATAGATACTGTGGCACGTGCATAGGGTAGTTGCATGTTTAGATTCTTAGTCTTAGGTCAATATAGAACGCTTTTATTTCATTATTTAAATTATTTCATTTGTAATTGTTTTTGTTTTAATTTTAAATTCCAACGTTATGTTTTGAAACACGTAAGACCAAAAATGTGTTCTGAATGTGTTTTAAATTTTCCGTTATTTATGATGAGTATCTAAGAGCTATATTCCGCATTTAAGAGACAAGCATGAGACTTAGTAGCGACTCTAAGTATGTAGAAATTTAGGATCGTTACATAAAACATTAACTTGAGACTAAAGGAGAAGCTAGACCTTAATGGGAATGAGTGAATAAAAAATAAAATACGAGAAACACCAAACCGAATCAAATAAGTTAACAAATGAAAATTTGTTACCCATGCAGTGTTAGAAAGCCATGACAAAGGGATGATCTTAGAGTCAAGGTCGAGGCCTAACCCATCGAGGCTAGAAATAAGTCAGGTTGAGGCCATCTTGGTCAAGTTGAGAACATCTTGATGAATAGCTTTACCGAGTAAGCCTAGGTCGAGGCAAACACCTTCATCCAAGTGTATGATGAATCTCACTGCCTTCTTTGTTTTAATATAGACCATTAGAACTAAGAAACATCTACGTTTGTTGCCACCATATTTGTGCATCATCCTAAAACATGAACGATGCACAAGATACCTTATGGTAATCTAAACTCTTCAGTAGATGAAATATCATCTCAATGATAGCCATAACTCTACCATGGTTAGGCCCTTAGAGGTCCTATTGATAATACGAAGCTTGTTTGTCTTACAATTTCATAATTATTTCACCTCTTGAATCATCTTAGGGTTGTTGGTTGTCTACGCTCGTTATCTGGTTGTCATAGTCTCTATTATTTCATGAAAGGTCTCCCACATTAGGGTAGTCGTAGTGGGGACCGACACTACTAAAGGCACCGATGGTGCCACTTGTGGTACTCTAGGTAGTGACAAGGCTAGGCCTATATGACTTATCGAAGCTTCACGAGTCAGACTCGGATCCCTACCTCATCCTCTGGCAGGTGAACATTCTTTTCCACATTTTTTTGGTGGCACAATATATTATCTAATATATAAGTAGGTAAATCTATGATTCCTAACATTAAATCTTCGGTGATACATAACATCCATAGCGACCCTAATTTTCCTAATCAAATATAGATACCACTGCATGCATGACATGACTAATAAGTGTGGAAAAGTCTATGAAAATATTTCATAAACGATGTCGTGGACTTAAACGTTCATAATAAATTCATTAAAAACAATATTGTTCTGAATGTGTATTAAATTTTCCGTTATTTATGATGAGTATCTAAGAGCTATATTCCGCATTTAAGAGACAAGCATGAGACTTAGTAGAGACTCTGAGTATGTAGAAATTTAGGATCGTTACATAAAACATTAAATTGAGACTAAAGGAGAAGCTAAACCTTAATGGGAATGAGTGAATAAAAAATAAAATACGAGAAACACACAACTGAATCAAATCAGTTAACAAATTAAATTTTTTTACCCATGCACTGTTAGAAAGCCATGGCAACCACAGTAAAATAATTATTTTCCCACTTGTCTAAAAATAATTTGTTACCCATTATTGTGCTAAAAATAATTTCTAGATTATCATCTATTACCCACTTGTCTTAAAGGGCTTCTATCAAATATTATTTTCCAACCATACATACCACAATAATTTCTTTTAAAAATATTTAATATCTTATTATCAAACATCACTTGGTCTATTTTGCCGGCCATTTTACATTTTTATAATATTTTAGAAACAGACAAACTAATTGAAAACCCATCTCTCTCAAATCAATTCCTTAAAACTTAATAAAGTAAATGAAAAAGTTGGGTGTTTTATATGGAGCAATTTATAAAGAATTTTTGTGTTAAAATACAACAAATTCCCAAACCTCATCTATAAAAACCCTAACCCTTCTCATAATTCTTCACAAGCCATTGCACAAACCTACAAACCCTTCAATATCTCTCCACCAATGGCTTCCAAGCTCTCTTCACCCATTGCCCTCCTCCTCCTCGTCAACCTCCTCTTCTTCACTATGGTCAGCTCCACCTATGTCCCTTCAAGGCAGCCACCATCACTCTTCAAGTGCCCCAAGGACACCCTCATGCTCGGCGTCTGTGCCGACTTGCTGGACGGTCTAGTGCACATAGTGATCGGCTCACCACCAAAATCCCCATGCTGCACCCTAATCCAAGGCCTTGTTGACCTAGAAGCTGCTGTGTGCCTTTGCACTGCGGTGAAGGCCAAAGCCTTGGGTCTCCAGATTGACCTCTCAGTTTCCCTCAGCTTGCTTTTGAACTACTGTGGAAAGAAGGTTCCGTCTGGTTTCCAATGCCCTACTTGAAACCAAATCCTTTCATTTCCCTTTCTGGTTTCTTCTTCAATTTTCCATTTCAATATCGTGTTTAAATAATCATTTGGTCGTACGTCGTGTTATGATGGGTTTGAAAATCTTCTCAGAATTCCACCATCTTTTTATAGTTTCATTACAATGCAATGACGATGTATATGTTTGTCTGTTCTCTTGTGTCTTATTACAAATTTGACGATGCATATGTTTGAAACCTCAAATCTTGTTTCACCTGTGTTACTTGTATGAAATCATAAAAAACCTTTAACTTCAAATTTTTCATGACGAAATATTAAAGAGAGTAATATTAACACTCAAGTTTTAAATGACGATGTTGACGAAAAATATAGAGACCTCAATTTCATGAAAATATGGATGTCGGTGTAACAGCCGAAGTACGCGGCTAGTAGATATTATCCGTTTTGACTCGTTATGTATCGCCATCAGCCTTACAGTTTTAAAACATGTTTGTTAGGGAGAGGTTTTCACGTTCCTATAAAGAATGCTTCGTTCTCCTTTCCAACTGACGTGGGATCTCACAATCCACCCCCTTGGAGGCCAGCATCTTTGTTGGCACACCGCTCGGTGTCTGGCTCTGATACCATTTGTAATAGCCTAAGCTCCCGTTAGCAAGGATTATCTACTTTGGCCCATTACGTTTCGCCGTCAGTCTCACTATTTTAAAATGTGTCTGTGAGACATGTTTTCATATTATTTTAAGAAATGTTTCGTTCTCTTTTCCAACCCGACGTGATATCTAGTAGTGTATGGGAACTTTTGAAAAATTTATAAGAATATTTAAACCGTCGTATAAGAATTTACTATTTTAAACGAGGAAGAGGATTATTATTAATATTATTTGTTGATATTTTTATTAAATATAAGGTCAATTTTTATACAATACGATTAAAAAGTGGATTTGGTTGACAATATTAAATATGGACATTTTAATGAAAAAAGAATATAATGGTCCTTGTCAATACTCTCTGTCACGGTCAATGAAAAGCAAATTGTAGAGATAATTCCTACATTTTTCTTTTTCTTTTCTTTCTTTCTTTATTTAATTATTTATAGATCCAACTTTAATTTTAATTTTAAAAATGATGATGAATAATTCGTGGTTCACTAAGTTGGGAAATTAATTTTTTTTTCTAATAATTATTCATTACAACCTTTTCATAATTTTTGAATTGTTAAACTTTAAAATTCATATTAATTACATCATCATATGTCTCTTTTATCTCGAGTTAATAATTTGTATTTTAATATATTTAAAATCGTAAAATAGGTTTTTTTTACTAATTTAATTTATTATTATTTTTGTTTTATATATTTTTTTTTCAAAATTGTCTATTGACATTGACATTTCCATAAAATGGAGACTTCCATATATATATATATATATTTTTTTTTGTCAACATTAACCTTTTAAACATTAATCTTAAGTAACTAATTTTAATATCTAACAAAAGGGCTATAACTTGAATAGAAAATGCAACTATCATAACTTCCTTCAGCCTACATAGTGACACTACATGGTTGTCTTACCTTCACCTGAAACAAAAAAAGCACTTGGTTTGATAATTTAAAAAATACTCAGTAAATAATCACACTGTTGTGGTCGAAAAAGGCAAATACATGCAACGATCGCTACTTTTCAGTCTGGATAGAGTTGAATGTGTAATATTTCTCTACACATGCACACATAGATCCACCTAGCATACTCGTATACGTATCCTCTAAGTCTACTTGTTGAGCTAGCTTGCGCTCACGTTGGCAGAAGCTATGGAGGGAAAGGAGCGTGCATAATATCACGACGAACATGATATCGTAGTTTATGTAGTGTAATATATGGAGGTTCGTGCATCATGCAATATTAATATCACAACATAGTTCCATAACATGACATAATCATATTATAGTACATCTTGTATCATTGCATAAACATAACATAACATAAAACACATCAAACAATCATGAAAAATTCGTCATTCATACATCCTATAGGTCATCCAACCAAGCCAACATTAAAGCCATTTCGTAGGCAAAGTTATTAACGTATGAAAAATTAGAGTATCTTTGTTTAAGACCTACCTTGATTTACACAAATGTGAGGATTGGTGAGCTATTCTTAGATATATTTATATTTCAAGTCTCTCCTTGGTCGGCTAGAGTTGAAGCCTCAAGAAAAATAGACCAATAAATAGTTTAAACTCGCAGCTGTGCTCCATACATTAAACCTATGATAATTAGCCAAGCTATCAAGTTTGAATAGTACATGACACTATGGGGTTCCGCTGACTTCCAGACGTCGTTACAAATTAGCTTGATTAGAGGGTCCAAGCAAGTGCCCGAAGGATTTTGTAATAGCCCAAAAATAAATAAAGAAATAAAGAAATAAAAATAATAATAAATAAATAAACAAAATAAAACAACATTTTCCCGCTCCTCTCTACTAACCTCTCATCCCTTCGCACAATTATAATTCCTTAACCCATCCTTAAGCCAGAAAGCAACCGTTACTCCAAAAAAAAAAAACAACAACAGAAAAATAATGAGTTGTGATTCACGGGGAGATTTACGTGAAGATAGATCTGATCAATAAGGTATATATTAAATTTTCATTTTCTTTTATCCTATTGTTTTTTTAGAAATCACAGTGAATTATATTTAGATCTTCGAATTCTTACAATGGTTTAGCTTTGAGTTAGAAACTAAATGTCAATCATTTATATGAATTCTAGCAAATCACATCACATTTGTTACAACGACTTAAGCTAGCCAGGTAAGTGACCTTACTATCGACATGGTTATATTTGTTGTTGACACGTGCCCTGTGGTTCTCCACGTGTCATATATATTGATATGTGTGAATTTTCTGTGGATCGATATTTGTTATGTATATGTTATAATACGTAAATTGTTTGATAATAATTACGGTACGATGTGTTCAATGATAAGCTTGAGATAGGATACGAGAAGGATGCACAAAACGAAATGTAACGATAGGAGTAAAATACATTTATGAAACGTTAAGGTTAGGTTACATACCGGAGTGATGTGGATAAGAGAGATTGATGAAAGAATACGGTTAGGTTACGGATAGAAAGGGATAGGTTGTGATAGATTGATAGAACAATAGCGTTAGGATTGATTAGCGTTAGAATTGATAAAACGATAGCGTTAGGTTACGTTTTTGTGATGATATGACTAAGGTACGTTCACGTAATGATACGTCTGTGATAGGTATAAGAACGTTACGACTATGATAAGTTAGAAAACGATATGAGTTATGGAAAGGGTGTAAAGGTAGTTTACATCACTTCAAAATTTGGGGATGTCCAGCACATGTGTGTTGGATCGGTATGGCAACCCTAGAGGGGGGTGAATAGGGTTTTAACGATAAAAGTGTTTAAACGTGATTTTTTTTTTAATGATTAAACTTTTTACAAATAAGTAGAAAATGATAATTACTAGAACAAAATAATTCAAGTCAAAACAATAATCAAGTAGAACATGAAATAAATAAAAATAATAATTTTGAAATTAAATAGGAAAGAGTTATAGAAAATGACACCGTAATTTTATAGTGGTTCGGTCAAACTCGACCTACTCCACTACCCAAGCGCCTCTTGTGAATTTGAATAAAGAACTTTCTCGACTCTTTCCACAGATCAGAGCCAAACCGCTACACCTCTCTTTTTACGAGTTCAAGAGCAAACTCAATCCTTTCCAAAAATTTTAAAATTTTAAAATATAATTATATAATATAGTAATAATAAAAATCGATGTGAGTAACGGTTAGATTCAAATTTATATTTTGTAAAAATAATTTCATTTAGAAATATAATAATAAGAAAAACTCCACCATTTGTTACTCTTCCAACATTATAAATGTCATACTTTGATGTATTTTGATTTGTCCATCATTTTGATTTTGCTGCCTGATCATCACGTTGGGTATGTTGTCTCGACTCTAATTTCTTTGTTTTAGCTCTAATTTGAGTAATTGAAAAGTCATTGTAATCGTTATTCCCGACCTTATACTGTGGACAGTTCAAAAAATTGAAAATAGTTAATAATTAAAAGTAGGTTTGTTTTCAATCAATTAATTGAATGAAATTAATTAATTGAGATCAAGGGCCAATAAGCCAACATTCTCCCCTTTTTATGATGACAAACCATTTCAAGAAAAATTCATAAAAACCAAGGTAATACACCATCCATGTAATAATATCAATACATACTAATATATTATCATAAATTTCACTCAAGAGCATATTTTCCCCTGTATTAATGCCTCAAGAAATTATGAAACATCACAATAAGTAAATGATTCATAAATTATAAAACAACAAACTTAGAGCATATTTTTCTTAATTTTCTCCCCCTTTGTAATCATAAAAAAGAACCATCGAAAAAGAATACATTTAAGAATGACATAATGGCTCCCCCTAAGAACATGCATTCAATAATTATAAACAAGATTATAAAATTCAAGATATATCACAACGAATAATACAAGCTCAAGCCTATTTTTGCAAAAATTTTCTTCATTCAATGGCTTGGTGAAAATATCGGCTAGTTGATTATTAGAGTTTACAAAATCAAGAATAATATGTTCATTTTGCACATGCTCTCTAATAAAGTGATGTCTAATGTCAATATGTTTAGTTCTAGAATGATGAATAGGATTTTTGGTTAAATTAATAGCACTTATTATCACAAAATATAGGCACACTATCCAACTTTAATCCAAAATCACAAAGAGTTTGTTTCATCCAAAGAATTTGAGCACAACAACTAGCAACCGCAATATATTCCGCTTCGGTAGTAGATAAGACAACCGAATTTTGCTTTTTACTAAACCAAGAAACTAAAGAACTACCAAGAAATTGACAAGTTCCACTAGTACTTTTACGATCAAGTAAGCTTCCGGCAAAATCCGCATCAGAATATCCTACCAATTTAAATTCAACATTTCTAGGATACCA